AAGGACTAAATGTATCATTATGGGGAAAGTTTGAAGTAGGCGGTATTAAACTATTCCATTTCCTCGTTTAACCCTAACCCTAGACACAAACTTCAGCCGCCACCACCCTCCTTCTCCACCTCACCGCTGTAGCTGTTCGTTGGTCCTTTCGCCGCCACCAGCCACCGTGGAAGGTGGCTGTGTGAGAGTTTTGCTATGTATTTTGGTGTGTGTATGTGTATTGTTGCTTTATTGTGTTAAGTGTGTGTGTGTATGTTGTGTAACCAGAATTCACGGAAAGGCCATCGCCACCACCGTGAGGTGGTGGCTGCCACCTCCAACTACCGTCTGCTGCCATAAGGGTGGTGTGTGTATATGTTCTTGTGTGTGTCTGATTTTATTTGGATATCGTGTTGTAACATTGTAATCGACCGAAATAGTAAGAAAAATCTGTCACCACCACCGTTAGGTGGTTGCCGCCGCCACGAGCCGCCATTGACCACCACTACCTGAGGTGGTAGTGGGTGGTGCCCAACCAATGAAACCCTAATGGGCCCAATGAAGCCTAAATTGACCTAAAGGCTCAACCATATGACTAATGGGCTAGTATTGGGTTTGAAACCCTAATTAGGGTTTGGAAAACCCTAATGTCTTGAAACCCTAATTTTGGGCATAGATCGGGACCCGCATTGGAATTAATTAATAAACTTAAAATATTAAATTAATAATCATTTGCAAATTAACCTAATGTAGTATTGGACTTAATGGATTAAGTAGGAATACTTAACCCTAATCGTCATTTCATGTGAAAACCCTAATTTCACTTGGGCCTTGAGTTAGGCCTTTTCTATTGGGCTTTGGTGATTTTACTATTATTGGGCTTTCCAAGAATAAGTAAATGGACTAAATAATTGTATGGGTTTTAGGATAAGGCCCATGTGAGAGTCTTGGGCCCAATTTGGAAAATTTGGTCATAGATGGGCCACAATTAGACCTTTATGATTATGAGATATTGAACCATTGGAATGCCAAGTATTTGGACCAGGATAGGTGGTTGGGCCTTAATGTATGGCCCATGTGAAGGGTTGGGCCCAATTTGGAAAATTGGGTCATATGTTGGGTTTTGTCCCATTACTTGACTATTGGCCTTTGGAGTGTGAGTTGGACCTTGGGTTTGGAACCCAATTATTAATTGGATATTTTTTGATGTTGGCAGTTTGGGAATTTTTCAACCAACAGCTAGAGTTTCATCCGCGGGACATCAGCAGCGCCAGGTGAGTTATCCTCACTATATCAACATAGTCTAAGGCACCAAGGCCGACCCTTTATGGATCTTATCCGAATTATTACATGATATGTTTATTGATTTACATCCTGCTAGTTAGGATGGTGATATGCTATGCTTAGTGATCTGGTTAGGTCGGTATCCTGGTTTTAGGATTTAATGTTATTCTTGTGATCTATTAGATCGGTTTGACTATTATATATGCTAGCGTATGTTATTTATGTGCACATGATTGCTTTTTTGGGTCGGGTTGAGGCGGTCCTACTTTGTGCTGAAGGCCAACATACCCGATGCGGTCTGGATAGACTGCAGGCCAGGAGGGATGCTAGTCAGACCGATGGCTCGACGAGCGATGTGGATAGGCTGAAGGCCCTGCGAGGCGGTCCAAACATGCCGAAGGCTCGGAGAGCGGTCCAGATAGGCTGAAGGCCTACGAGGCGATCTAGTCAGGCTAAAGGCTTATTATGATGTTGTTCTGTATTTTTTATATGTTGTGGTTATATATGTATGGCGTTGGTATTTTGGGGAAACTCACTAAGCTTCGAGCTTACAGTTGTTGATTTTGTTTTAGGTACTTCTGATGATCGCGGGAAGGCGAAGGCGTGATCGTGCACCTCCTCATATTTTCATGATTTGATTATGGGGATACACTGATGCTTAAACTATTTTGAAAAAAAAATTATAATGACTTAACGGTTTTAAATATTTTAAAAAGCTTTAAATTGGCTTGAATTTTATGGGTGTTACTAGTATGCTTATAAAGGAAACATTTTTTCTTTAACCACATTCATTTGAAACTGCCATGCATTTTTCCTTTCGCCACATTCATTTGAAACTCCCAAGACTTTTCAATTTCTTTCTAATAATGATTATAAGTTGGTTAATAAGATTAAATAAATATCAAACCTAAAGTATCATTATATTTAAACTACATTTCAATATTAAAAGAATATCTTTACTTCTACTTATAAAGTTATTTTTTTAAACTTTTAACATATTATACTTAATTTTATAGTTTTAATATATTCTTGGGTTTAACCATTATCATTTTAAAGCTACATTTTTTAACAATTTGTATAAAATATTTAAATTATAAATTTAAATATAACATTACAGGATCAACTTAAATATAAATTTTAGTTTAATTTAAACAAATAAAAAATATTTTGTAAATAGTTAAAAGTGGTGAATTGTAGTCTCTTGCTAATAATGATTATAAGTTGGTTAATAAGGTTAAATAAATATCAAATCTAAAGTGTAAGCATAAATAAACTAAATTTCAATATTAAAATAATATCTTTACTTTTACTTATAAAGTTATGTTTTTAACTTTTAACATATTATACTTAATTTATTAGATTTAATATGTTGTTTTATGTAAACCATTATGAGTTTAAAGCTACAACTTTTGAACAGTTTGGACAAAATACTTAAATTGTTAATTTAAATATAACATTACAGTATCAACTTAAATATGAATTTCAGTTCCACTTAAAAAACCCAATTAATATTTTATGAATAGTTAAAAGTGATAAATTGTAGTGTAAAATGCAAAAACTAAATTATAATCTCAATTTAACTAAAATATTTCCTAAAGATAATTTTATAATCGTTAAAAGTTTTCAATTAAGTAGCTTAAAATAACTTACAATAACAATAGTTAAAAATAACTCTATATAAATGATTATACCGTTACCTTTAAAATCAAAAAACAATGTTTGATGTTTTAAATAATTATAATGACAGAAATTAAAACGTTAACCAAATAAATTTTAAAAAATTAATTAAGAATAACAACAACTATAAATAACATTAATTCATATATTATATTAAATTTTATTAATGAGTTACTCGTAGGTAGAAGTCATTTAAACGGTTGATATTATATAGTTATAATAGGTGTATATATTATCATATAATTAAAAATTATCAATATATTATATCAATTCAATATATGAATTATTATATTAAATTTAATAACAACGTTATTGTTATATATATATATATATATATATATATATATATATATATATATATATATATATATAAAGATTTCAACTATATAAGTGTTTCTGCGCAACGTGCGGACATTCGCCTAGTATTATTATAAATCATGAATAACTCATCTCTCTTTCTGTCTCTCTCTCCCTCCCTCCCCCTCTCACTCTCCCTCTCCCCTCCCCCTTCTCTCTATCTCTCTCTCTCTCTCAACATTGTTTTCCTCCTCCTCTGTTACTATGGTACCCTTTCTGTAAGGATCTAAACACACAAAAAATTCCTCTTTTTTCCAAGACGTGGTATTGATCATTAAGTTGACTAATACTTTGTGTTGATTGCATGTTCCATTATTTATGATTTAATAGGGATATAATCAAAGTGCATTTCTATCACAAAGAAAAATACAAAGTAGATTAATATTTCTTGCATTTAGCCCTTAAAACGACAACAATTTCTACAACAATACTATTATACACACACTTGTTATAATTATAATCACTCAACTAATTCAAAAACAATGTAAAAGTCATTAAACACATTGAACATATTTAACCATATGTATATAATACTTTGACAGAAGAGTGGTCTATCTTCAAAAAGGGGGAAATGCAAAGACATTTTCATTTATTTGTATATCTTTGATATGAACCAGATAGGAAGGTAGGATAGTGTATACTTCAGCGCGGGAAGAAAACTCAAGGGGGCGCACAATAATTTAATTTATCTTATTTACTTATAGTTGTTATTTGGTGTTTATGGATTACGGTATTTGTTTGGTAGTTTCCTAGTTTATTATATAGGGTTAATTGTAAATAGGGGTGGGAGTCGGCCCTTGGAGGTAGACAAGTTGTGATGTTTTGTTCTTGTAGAGATCTCTTGTATCTCGAATTACAAGCCATATTGTTTATTAGCAAGCATTAAGCTAAGTGTATTTTGATTATCATTTTTTATACCAAATTGGTATCAGAGCAACAGTACTGGCAGCAACACTATTCATCGGAATAATGATTCTGACAACAATGTTATTCATCGAAATTACCGTTCAGGTGCTACTATTCATTTTTTTGTCATGTCCATGGAACCCAAGGTGTATTCAAGCATACTTAATAATATGAACAATTTGAAAGTAGATTTGGAGTAGCTTAGAAACAATCAATAAATCGTTTGGAGAAAATAGTGCAAGAATTGACAGGGTCCAACAATGGGATGTATAAGTCGTACATGAGTGATGTCTATTCTTAAGAAGACCAACCTATTCCTAGAAGCAAAGACATGGGACCAATCATGGGCAGCCGTGGGCTGGTACCACCAACCAGCCATGAACATAGAGGCGAGTGTGTCCCAATGTCGAATCTCGTGCAGAGGAGACACATAATTTGGATGTCCCTATGAACATATCTAATGTGATAATGAACATTGAAAAACCTTCAACATCCATTCCTGAGTCGACTATTGTTATTCCACTAGAGGTTTCGAATGTTGATTCCATTAAGGAGGAGACTAGGAATCTAGATCCTTGAGAAAGCATCTAGTGTGGACTCAAATGTCAATATTGGTGTGACTATTGTTCCTAAAACTTTAACATTTCTCCTACCACCATCTAATTCACCACTTAAGACATCCTTAGTTCAATCCACATCTATTCGTACACATTCACCAACTTTTTGTTAGAATTGTCAATCAACCAATTACATCCTTGTTTTCTTCCCAATCAATTGATCCTTTCATTGACCATGTCATGAATGATGATGAAGAAATGTTTGATTTTGCAGATGAAGCTATCATGTCCGGAAAGCAGTATAAAATTTTGAACTACAATATGAACATGATCTTGTTGTTTCTTATTGATTCTTTAGCCAATATTTCTTCCACTGTTAACAAAGAAGAAATGGCTTCTATTAGGTTCTCAAGAGTCAAAGATCAAGGGAATGTTCAAGGGTGTTGTGACTGATACTTAGGAGAGGATTGATACTACCTTGAAGTCTTTCAAGTTCCATGTTACAAAGGTCCAAAATATGGCAAGGGAGGGGTATGAATTGATAAAGAAGAGATTATCGACATTCAAGGAGTCCATTGAACTAAAAGTTCAACAAGTTCATGATCTTATTACGTCAAAAGTGAAAAATATTGATGGATTATTTATGGTTGCACAAAAGAATGTCGATTTCCTGCTTTTAGCTACCAGAACGTTAGTCGAAGATATTCAAGATTTTAATGTCGATTATAAAGTTGAACTAGAAGAGAAGAATGGAAAAGTTGAAGAAGTGTAAAAGTATTGAAACTTCTCTTAATACTTTTCAAGAAGAAATCTCAAAGTATGCAAACCATTCATCATCTTCGATGGTGCAAATGTCAAAGGTCGTGTCTTCGATAAAAGCTTCTTCCGAATCCCAACTTGCACCTATTCTTGATCTGGTGTTGTGACTGCCAACGAATGCTCCATGTGCTTCACAAGTGTCACAAGAGGGAGATAAGGGTGGTTCATCAAAATTAGGAGGAGAAGATAAAGGAAATTTTTTTGGGAAGGTCTTCTCTCATCAAATACCTATTCCTATTCCAAGAAAACAAGTTTAAACAATAGAAACAGCTGTAACTTCAAGTTCAGTTGTCACTCCAAATGTTGAAGTAGATGTGTCTAAGCTTCATTCAAAGAAGAGCTTAAGAATTCATTAAGGTGAGTCTTCAATAGTCAAGCGAACAACAAGAACAGAAGCAAGGAAAGACAAATGCAACGGGTTGTGTTGTCTGATGAAGAAAAGAATAAGTTGAAAGAACTAGAGATAGAGAAGCTGAAATAACTGAATAGCTTCTTGAGGAAAAGGGAAAATGATCCTCTTAGGATGAACAAGGGGAAGTAAATAATACACATAATTATGAAACCACTAAAACTGTGTCTTTTGGTGAAGCAGATGCATTCGAGAAAATGCAGAAGGAAAGGTACACAATTGAAAATTGACCAATGCAACAACTTGATTTTCCTTTCAACCGTATGATATTCATAATTGTACAAATCAATTTTTCTTATAATTTCCATGAATATGAAGCATTCAAATACTTCAAGATAAGGTTTCATGTAGTGCTTGGAAAGAAAAATGGGGGGGGGGAGATTTGATCCTTGAAAAAGATTGTGAAGCTGGTGTCAATATCTAAGGATGATATGTTTGAGAATCTCCTTCAAAACTACCGATACAAAGTGATTAGAGCATATAATAGTCTATGTGTGTTCACCATCTTTGATTTCTCTTTGATATATTTGAATGATCTTATCAAATCTCTCGATGATAAGCAAGTGGCCGATAAGAGATCTTATGTTGTGGGATATGCATATATCAAGAACCTCATTGATTTTCACCTTGCACACCTTGGGCTAATTGACGTCGAGATCGCTAAAGACTACAAAAAACCTAGGAAGAATCCAAATGCTATTTTGGACGTTGTGGATCTTGAGCAGTATGATGATGGTGAAATTATTTTGAATCCTTTGGGTGTTGTCTTTCAAGGGAAGAAGGTGAATGGAAAACAAAAGAAGCACTTCCTTTATATGAATTTGAAAGACATGTATTCTACAAAAAAAAATTGACGCATCGTTTTCTTAGAATTGCAAAGTGAAAGAAGAATAGTGATGGTGATAGGAAGGAAATAAGAAATGTAGTCTGCTGGTATTTAGAAATCAGGAAGACACTGATGGATGTAGTGATGGCATTACCAATTGTTCGAAGACTTGAATATTCTTCACAAAGAGGGGGGGGTGTAGAGAATAAGAAGTTGTGAAGATATTCACTATCCAAGTCTTTTGTACATAATGTTGAATAGTCTCTTGTAGCGTATATCAAAGGTTACACACCTTTGATATATCTATGTATTTTAGAGATCATGTTTGTTTGTAATACTTTGAATGTCGAAGTCTTTCGATACTTTTTGTGTCTATTGAGGGTACTACATATAGTATTGAAGTATAGGCTATCGGGTACGCTTTCAGAACACTTTCTTAGAACTCACTCTTTGTAACGACGTAAACTTTTTAAACAAAATTTTCATTTTTAATCACATACTTTTCATAATATATTGTACAAAAATATCACTTGTTCAATTTACAAAACACAACTCCATGTTTAATTAATTAATAATCCAGGATCCTCAAAACGTAACTCTTTCTCTGGTATGTACAATCAAGCCGGTGCCATCCCGCGATCCTGAGAAACTTGAAAAACATAACACATAACACGGTAAACATGAAGCTTAGTGAGTTCCCTAAAATACCACATACAACAAATTATCCACTCGAGGCTATAACTCTTTAAGACCCTCCGGTCAATGTGTCTCAGTGGGACCCTCCAGTCCCACAACTCTGATGGACCCTCCGGTCCTAAATCTGATTAACACATTACATAGCATATATATCACACAGGAAAAATGCATAACTCAAGTAAGAACATAAGACCCTCTGGTCACACATCAATACCACTCAAGGTAAAGTATAGTGAGAAGACTCACCTTGGATGATGAATAGCTCCTATAGACACTACTGCTACGCACCGGCCTCTATCTCTATGCCAAACCCACAATTATCTCAATTAGGAACTATGTCCATCCTTACACTTATTAGGTCTAAGATGGACCACCTACCAGCCCATCAATGCCCTAAACCCATTATGCCCGCCAAGGCCTAATAATAAATGGGCTTCCCCGAGGCCCAAACCTCAATCTTCATGACAAGCCCAACGCAAGGGCCCAAGACATAACTATACTATTCTCTACTCATAGTCTCAATTACAAAAGCCCAAAGATCTAGGCCTAACCTCTAAGGCCCACAATATAGTCTAGCCCAAAAGTCCACAGAGGGGTTACGTGGGGCGTACCCCTTTGGTACGCTCAGCGTACCAAAGCGCTCATGAAATTGATCGGGGACCTTCACTCAGTACGTGGGGCGTACTGGAATTACGCGGCGCCTACTCCCTGAAATACTTAATCCACTCTCCTGGTCTTTACCCGTTAAGACCTTAACTCATCTCTCAGATGTAGACTTCCTAAGGGCTCTTACTCCTTAAAGTCAGGGACTTTAAGCCTTTGCATGGCTGATATGGTCTCAAACACACAAAACACTCATTCTCTTTTCTCATTAAGCTCTTATCTCATTCATAACTTGGCTGTAACATCCACGAACTCATTTTTACAAAACCATACCATCAAAAACACTCAAAAGGACATGCAATGGGCTTTGGAGTTTAACAACTCATAAAGTCTCAAGCTTTGGGACCAAAAACCCTAAAATGGACCATAACATGCACAAAACAAAAAGAATGGGAAAGCTTTGAGCTTTATACCTTCAAATGATGCTCTAGCCCTAGGAAAGCTTAGATCCAAAGCCTGGACTTCAACTCCTTTCTCTTATGTGCGCTCCTTAACTCCAAAGAGCCCACAAGAACACATATAAGCTCAACATGGCAACCCACAAGCTCATGAACGGATATTAGGGTTTGAGAGGGTTTATTAAATGAGGAAGGTTGCCATAAATGAGACCATCTCATTCTTTAAATAGGGACACTACTCGAATTAGGGTTTTATTTATGTGCCTAGTACGCCCAGCGTACTAGGTGGTCCTCGCATCCAATCCACGCTCATAGATATGCTAAGCATACCCCAACTTATGCCCAGTATACCCGATTGCCACCCATTTCTCAATAAGGACCAAACTTGCCATAACTTCCAAACTCTCATAGCTTCTTTGATATAACTCTGATTCCAAAGATCCTCATATCTACAGAAAGGTGATGAGATGCCCTACGCTTTAGCAACTCGCTGCAACCCAAGATCTCCTCATGTCCGGTTCGTGGCTCACGAACCCTTATCACAGACAATCCGAAACAGGATGTTACAATTCTCCCCCACTTGAATTAGATTTCGCCCTCGAAATCGCTCCTTACCAAAACATAGACCGATCCCAACAAACCGAGATGCATCACTGAAGGTCCACAAACCATACAACAATCACTTCCAAAGATACTCGATCCCGTGTGTACAAGGTCCAACAAACCTTCACCCCTCTCACAAGAGCCTGTGAAGGGTGACTTTGTCATTTTTCCAAGTAAGCATGATTCGCAACTATCATCTGACTTTAGGTCAAATGATTCCAAGACTCCATCCTTTCGGAGTTGGCCTATGCGTTTCTTGCTTATATGTCCAAGACGACAATGCCATAATGATGCTTTATCCAAGTTATTATTATTAATAGAATCAATACACATCACATTATTTCCTAAGTTATCAATCACAGATACTGTCTCATACACGCCATCACAAGGTAATGCTTTAAAATAAAGAACATTATTAAAGAAAGCATTAATAGAACCAACTTCATTATTAAATGAAAAGGTAAAACCTTGTTTATACAATGAATGAAAGGAAATAATATTTCTTGCCATTTCTGGCGAATAACAACATTTATTCAAATCTAAACTAAACCCACTACTTAGCGATAAAGTATAAACTACAATCTTGGTGACAGGTGAATCTTTCCTGTTTCCCATGATCAAGTTTATTCTTCCTTGCTCCACATTCTCACTTCTTCTTAGTCCCTGCAAATCAGAACATATATGAATACCACAACTGGTATCAAGGACCCATGAGTTAGAATGGGGTGAGTTATTAGATAAGATAGTGGAAATACCTGCATGGTTGGGTTTAACTTTCCCATCCTTCACATCTTGCTGGTACTTTGGGCAGTTCCGCTTCCAATGTGCCTTTTCATGACAATAGAAGCATTCAACCTCTTTTGGGTCAGAAGAAGGAGTGATGAAACCTTTCTTGGTTCCACTTGAAGAAGAGCCATCAAGGGTCCTAGCCTTGGTACCCTTCGAAGAACTCTTTCTCTTCTTCCATCGTCCTTTCCCGATTGCCAAGACAAGGGCGGAGTTGGTAGGAGTAGGAGTAGTAACAACCGCCTTACCCTTAAGACCACTTTCTGCGGTATTTAAGAGTCCTTGAAGTTTGCTGAGAGTAACCTCTTCCTTATTCATGTGGTATGTCATGCAGAATTGATCATAACATGAAGGTAAGGAGTGCAAAATGATATCTATTGCAAACTCCTCGGGGAAGTTCACATTAAGCTTCAGCAAACGGTCCACAAATCTTTGCATTTTCTGCATGTGGCCCGTGATGGGTTCACCATCCTTCATGCGAGTTGTTATCATGGAGGAGATGATTTCATACCTCTCTTGACGAGCACTTTGATGGTATCTTTCCATCAAGTCTTGGTGCATCTCATAGGGGT